GGTGCTTCACAAACCTGAGGCCTCTTCTATGCCTCCAGGCTGGGTCTGGGTCTGCCTCCTGCATTGGACCAAAAGCTCCTTGAGGGGAGAGTCTGGGCTCTCCAGAGGAGATAGTGAATGGGAGTTAATCTGACAGTGTCTCTCCCCTGCTCAAAATTCTCACAGACAGAAGGTAAATCCTAAAACCAGCATTCAAGACCTTTGGACATCTAATTTTGGATCGGCAAACTCCTATTCACTCTTCAAAGCCTGTATCAAATGTCCTCTCTGCCAGAAGGCCTTTGTGGAACTTCCTCTGGATTTTTTCAGCCACTGGCCCTCCTGCTGGTCCAAGCCTGATCTCACAGGCTGAGGTATCTGGGCCTGGCTCTGCCTCTCTCTTCAGAAGGGGGCTCCAGGCTGAGTCTGGGCAGGATGGAGGGTATCTGAACCCACAGATCTACATGGAGACATCACATGAGAGCCCATGTGTGGCCATCTGTGTGTTTTATGTCCCTGTCCCTGTGCAGGGCCCCCGGGAGGGGCAGTCAGGCCAACTCCCCCTACACCACCCGAGACAGCGGCATCTTTTCGAGACAAGGAGCGTGGGCTGAGCAGTGCCCCCTGTGAGGAAGCCTGGCTTGGCTGGAAGCTCATTTGTCCACAGACCCTCCACCTGGAAGAACTGGGGATGTGAGCAGCTGGCCTCCGCCTCTGCCTCCACCACGCTGGCACTATGTTTTGTGACCCACCATTATGGCTCAGCTCCATCTGGGATGAAGGAGGGGCTGGGGCCCAGGGGAGGGCCTCCCCCCACTGCCCTTATGGAAACCCCGCCAGGCAGCCTTCGAAGACATACCTGAGGTTTGGCAGCACCCAGCCAGCCAGCCCCCAGGGCTGAGTCAGCAGGAAGGGATTCAGGACTTCCCAGGAAAAGCAGCTGGGACCTCGAGGGGCCCCCAACCCCCGGCCCACGCCCTCCCCAGGGCTGCCGGAGGGTGGGAGGTGCCACATGCACCTGGCTGCACCCGGTCTCCTTTGAGGGACTGAATTGTAGGGGTTTGAGGCAGGTTAGAATCAGCCCTGACTTGGGTGGTCAGGGCGTTTGCAGGCCAGAGTGACCCCAAGTAGGGGGTGACAACCAGTGACTATGGGTGTTGATGCCCTGCTGTGCACAGGTGCTCTCGGCTGCCCACGCCCCCTCAGGACCCTGCCGTAGGCCTGTGTGTCAATGTGACAGTGTCTGCCCAGGCAGCTGTGAGGGGTGGGACAGCATCTGGACAGACTGTCCCATCCAGGGTGACCAGCAAATCCAGCTGCATGCACTTTAAAGGGATGACTTGTTGGGGGCTGCAATTAAGAGGCAGTGCAGCCAAATAAGTGACAAGAAGGTGGCCTGTGGTGTGGGAGGGAGTGTTGACCAGGGAGGACAGGGACAGGGCGTCACCAGGGCAGTGTGACTGCGGGACCCATGGTGAAGACACTGGACTCCGTGTGTCACATCCGCTTGGCTGCACCGTGGCTGTGACCCTGGGGAGGGCAGTGGATGTTTCCCTGCATCCATCCCAAAATATCGGTGTCTGTTGCTCCCCTATCCCTAGGGTCTCCTCCCTCCTGCCTGCCCAGACCCACCACCCTAGGCCTTGGGGTCTGGCCTCAGCTCCTGCCGTGGGAGGGGTCAGGCAGCAGGACATCAGTGTTCAGCTGGCCAGCTCTTTCTCCGCTGGCACCCTGCCTCTGTTTCCACTATTAAAATGCAAGCATTCCCCCCACCCTACTGAAGCCAGGTCTCTCCGCCAGGCTGGCTCCAGTCTTTGGGGTCTGCGCCTGGGTCATACCCAACTCTGAGGGCTGATGAGGGAGACAGACGGGGCCGGGGAAGTGGTGGGTGGCCGCGCCAGGGCCACGAGGCCCCGATGGAGGAGCCAGCAATGTTCAGCCAGGACAGGAGGCAGCTGGAGGAGAGGGGCCGCTGGGCTGCCGGTTTGGACCCTGCAAGGGCTGCCATGTGGGAGGGAGCAGACCCTAGTTCCATAAAGGAAATAGTTTCCAACAAGCTGAATCCCGCAGAGGAGTCTTTGTTATGAGAAATTGTGTGACTTATCCCTGCTCCAGCACCTTCTGTGGCTCCCAATCACCCACTGGAGACTCTTCAGCTCCTCGCTGGCATTCAAGGCCCTGTTCATCTCCCCTATATGTTTCCCTTCTGCTGCTGCTCTTTGTGCCTGCTTGAAGTTTCCCTCCTCAGCCTTCACCTATACATTTCCAGCTGCCTGGTATACCCTTCCTACTTTGCCAACCTGGCAAACTCCTACACATCCTTCAAGACCCCATGCCTATATCCCCTTCTCTGGGAAACACTGTCCTTCCCTTCAGTCCATGGTGTCCCCATTTGCTGTGTGACCCTGGGCAAGTCCCTTCAGCTATGAAACAGATGTGTGTATGTGTGAAAAATCATCCTGCCTAAAAGCATATTTGGGCCCCAAGACAATAAATATACATTAAATGCCCTCAAACTGAGTTAGGTTTTGGTGGGAGACAGAGAAGTCTTTGTATCCAGTCAGTGCTCAATGCGTGTTCATTTTTATCTTCCTCCTCTTGGATTCTGTGGGTTGAAGATGCTCTTGATTTTAGCACTGTTCCAAGATTTTTCTCCCACTCACAGTACTAGGAATTTTAAGAACCCCTGGTTCTAAAATTATAAGTCTAAAATGCCGTGGGCGAGACCAAGGGCCTCCTTATGCCCTGAGCTGACCCTAGGGTGGCTGGAGCTGGGGTCTCCGGGGGGACCACATGCCCCCCATGCCCAAGGCTGATGGGGTATGGTCTGGCAGCCACAATTTTGGGGGGAGAGCAATGGATTTACCAGGAGGCCAATGCCCCAGGAGGGAGGGGGCGGGACTCCTGGCTCAGAGGCTAGAACGGGGTCACAAGGCAGCATCCAGAAGCACCAGGCTGTCAGCTCAGAGTCGTGGCTTCCTTCTCTTGGAGACTCAGTTTCTTCATCTGAATATTGGGGCCAAGTGCTGCCCTCTTGAAGAGTCATCAGCAGGGATGGGGAGTCACTGGGGCAACAGCCCCTGCCCTGTGCCAAACATTTTCTTGGGCTGTGCCCTCTGCTTGGAACAGTCTCCCTGGCCCACTTCCCTCTAGAAGTCCCTTCTCACGCCTAGTCAAACCACAGCAGTTGAGGAGGGGGCTTGCAGATAACACCCATCACCCCTGTTCTGCCCTAGGGAACCAGGGTGCCAGCAGCCTGCCCCAAATTCAGCTGCCCTAGACCTGGCAATGGCCACGGCCCCAACACTCAATGAAAGGTATTTGGCAGCAGGGCTTGACACCTCATCACACTCAGCCTAGAAGCCAGCTTCTCCTACTGGCTGCAGGGGGAAGCCCCCACACACACACCCCCTCCAACTCCTGTGGCTCCTCAGGACCCCAGTAGGCAGGCCCAGGGTCTGCACTGCCTTGGTGGGGGCCTACCTCTCTGAGCCTCCCTGTCAGCTTGGGGTAGACACAGTAAGTCTGGATAAATACTCATGTCCATGGCTCCCAGGGGCCTCAAAGCTTTCTTCCCTCTCTTGTCCAACACGGCCTATCCAAGGAGAGACTGGGGTGCCGGCACCCGGGGCTTCCAAACCTTGACTCCAAGCAGAGCCCTGGGGGCCACCCTCATAGATGGGTTGGTACCCTCGGGTTTGCCAGATTCTCCCAGACCCTCCAGACCCTTAATGCTGCCCCCTAGGCAGGGGAAGGTGTTCCCATGAATGGAATGGCCTGAGTAAAGGCGTGAGGGCTGGAGAGGTTGGAGGTTGTCCACTGGAGAGTTCTTCCGATGGGCAGAGCATGAACCCCATAGGCATGTCGGGGTCTGTCTGTGAGCCACTCTCCCCACCAAGGCCTTCTCTGGGCCACCATTGTTGGCACAGAGCTGAAATTTAATGCTGTCCTCTAAACGCTGAGCAGGCACATGGTAAGGTGGACGGGAGGGCTAGGGGTGGGCAGGCGAGCGGGCAGGGCGGGTAGCTGATAGCAGGGGATGTAGGCGGGCGGGTAGGTGTGCGGGAGGCCTGAGCATGCGCTGGGATAAGGGAACACCCCGCACTTCAAATCACTGTCATCACCCTCTCCCCGGGGCAATCAGCCAAGCACCATGCTCCCCACCTCAGGCCCCCAGAAGCGCCACACCAATGGCTTCAAGGGGCTGACATCTCCAGGCCAATGGAGTCTCGGGCATGTTCTTGAGGAGGCTGCCGGGCCATCCAGGGAGCCCCTGCTCCTGCCGGGATTCACTCCAGGGCCCAGGCAGCTCTTCGCCTCTCCTTTTAGGACCTCGATTTCTCAGTCTGGAAAGTGGGGGTGTGGTCAGAATAGCACCTGCCTCATGAGGTGCCAGAAGAACTCGCCTGGCCGTGCACAGACTGCAAGCATGCGATGGTTCTGCACCTCCAGACTGAGGAGCCTAGTGAGGTCAGAGGGTTCAGGACCATGGCCTTGGGCAGCCCAGTCACTGTGTGGTCAAGGCGTGGCCCGGCCTCAGTTGGGCGGGGGACCCCGGGCAGGGCCGCTGTGACCCCAGCTGAGGAAGTCCAGGGCGGCCTCAATTCCTGCCTCCTGGGGCAAGCGCTCCTGCCAGGGCCTCTCCCTGACCACTGTAGCCCATGGGCCTGTGGCCAGGTGGGAGCCACTGATCACAGCCAGGCGAGGAGGAGAAGGCCAGGGAAGCAGCTGCTGCTATGTTCAGCGGTCAGGGCTGCACAGGCTCGGGCCGCTCATGACTCGGCTCTGTGCACACGTGTCGCAGACACACTTTGGGCAGCGGTTGGGACCCACATGCCTGCCTGAGGCGTGTCCATGGCCTCATGGGGGCCTCCGTGCCATTTACATACTCATGTCCGTGTGTGTTTCAGGCCTGATCCTGCCTGCCAAGGTGCCTAAGGTGCCTCTGGATCTGGCAGCCCCAGCCTCTGTCCTTCTCTCCCTAGAACTGACACCATGAGTTGGAAATGAAGCATCTTTAATTGATTCCTTGCGCCAAACCCCCTGGGGAATCTCCAAGCACCAAACATGTGAGAATTATGCCTCCCAGCCCCAGAGCCAAGAAGCCCCTTCCCTAGACCTTCAATGGGCCACACCCAGACTCCCCACTCACACCTGTGACCAGCCCTTCAGGCTTTGTTTCAATAAATAACCCCAAGAACAGAGCTCAGGGCAGAGGACCCAATAAAGCACTTAGCTCAGTGCAGAAATCTAAAGGGGCAGACTCTCTGAAATCAGGGTCAAAATACACATGAAATCAGAGCCAGAATGTGAGCTGGGAAAGATTCTCTTGGGGCCTCAGACGCCTGTCCTGACGGTCTCCCAGGATGTTGGCTCCCACATGGGATGAACTCCATTTCACATCACACAGCAACAATCACCTGCCTGGCATTTCCACCATTAGGCCCTACTCTGAATCTGGGCAGGGGAAGGGGGTACCCAGAAACCTGAAGAGAGAACAAGCATCTGGAGAAGCAAGGGGTGAGACTTCCCAGGGACAGAGGAGTCTGGAGCAGGGCAGAGGAGCAAGGCTGGGGCCCAGGTCACTGCTGGGCCCTGCCTCGGCGGGTGCGGAGGGGACCCGAGGCTCGGGCCTGTGCCCGGGCCACCTCGCCCATCTCCCTGCGGATGTCACCAAGCGCTGTCGATGGGGACTCCAGCAGTCTCTGGAAGAGGCTGGGCCGGCCCGCTGGTGGCTCCCGGCACTGAAAGGTAACAGCTGTGCCAGCATCGGCCTTCATCTCCCTGGAGAAGCCATCAGAAGAGCCATCAAAGCAGCGGCCAATGGCGATCTCCTTGGCCAGCCGTGGGCTCTGGTCAGTGACTGTATAGACACCATAATTGTGACCCAGAGGGTCCAGCGGGGCCAACATGGAGAAGGCAGACAGGTCATCGGCTGGTGGGGATGGGGGGTGCCTGGTCAAGTAATCCTGCAGAAGTCCGTTGACGGCCACACGCCGGCAGCTGCCCTGGGGCATGATGGTCACCAGCGTCCTGTCCACCTGACGCTGGTCGAACAGCATCCCGCTGCACTTGAATTCCACACAGGCGGCAGATGTGCTAGGGCGCTCAGGGTCTCGGACACTGCGCGCATCCCGAAGCCCATAGAGCTGGCCCTGGGTTCGCGGGTGGCTGCCCCCTGCGTTGTGGGAGCGGACCATGTACTCCTGGGGGCCCTGGATCTTCACCTTAAGGAAGCAGGCCCGGAATTCCTGCGGGTTGGGCCACCAAGACAGGAGATCTCCAGTCCAGGAGGCCGGCGCGCCCTCGCGGAAGGGGACCACGTTGTACTCATATTTGTCAGCCTCCACGCGAGAGAAGCGGAAGTGGCTGGCGGTCACCGGGGCCTCCTGGCACTCCCGCAGGCTGCGCCACGGGTACACGGGGCCGTTGGCCTCGGCGGCGTCGCCCGATCTGGGTTTGGCCAGGTTGATGCGGAAGCCATTGCGTTTGAAGGAGGGGTCATCGTGGTCGGTACGGCGGTAACCCAGCCT